AGTGATTAAGAATTTCCAGAGGAGGAGCCTAGGAATATTTAATAAGGGCGTCCAAGGATAGATGTGGTAGCTGATGCCTATAATCTCAATACTCTGGGATGCCCAGGCAGGTGGATTGCCTGCGCTCAGGAGATTGAGACCAGCCTGAGCAAAAGCAAGACCCCATCTCTAAAAAATAGCCAGGTGATGTGGTAGGCACCTGTAGTCCCAGCTACTTGGGAGGTCGAGGCAAGAGGATCTCTCAAGACCCCGAGTTTGAGGTTGCTATGAGCTATGATGCCACTGCTCCCTATCAAGGGTAACCAAGTAAGACTATTTCAAAACAAAACAAGGGCTTCCTTCCCTTCCATGAATGAAACATATTGCAGATCAGAAAAGCTCAGATCTATCTGCACATCACTTCCATTGTAAACTTTTATTATTATTAATTATTATTAATACTAGGCTCGGCATCTGCAGCTAAAGCAGCTAGGGCGCCAGCCACACACACCAGAGCTGGCAGGTTCAAATCCAGCCCGGGCCCACCTAACAACAACGACAACTACAACCAAAAAAAAATAGCCAGGCATTGTGGCAGGCACCTATAGTCCCAGCTACTTGGGAGGCTGAGCCAAGAGAATCACTTGAGCCCAAGAGTTTGAGGCTGCTGTGAGCTGTGATGCCATAGCAACTCTACCCAGGGTGACAGCTTGAGACTCTGTCTCAAAAGAAAAAAAAAAAAAAGGAATACTAGATCTTAAAAAATAAAAACTGGCTTGGTGCTTGTGGTTCAGGCGCCAGCCACATGCACCTGAGCTGGTGGGTTCAAATCCAGCCTGGGCCCGCCAAACAACAATGATGGCTGCAACCAAAAAATAGCTGGGCATTGTGGCGGGGGCCTGTAGTTCCAGCTACTTAGGAAGCTGAGGCAAGAGAATCACTTGAGCCCAGGAGTTGGAGGTTGCTGTGAGCTGTGATGCCACAGCACTCTACCCAGGGCGAAAGCTTGAGGCTCTGTCTCAAAAAATAAATAAATAAATAAATAAAAACTGGTAGAATCCAATAAAGTCTAGAGTTTGACTCACTGGTAGTAGTATACTAATGTTTGGTTTCTTAGTTTTGATGAAAGTGGTAATAAAGATCATATAAGACCACGTAAAAGAGAAACTGAAAGTGGGTGAGGGGTACACAGGAACTCTCTATACAATCATTGCAACTTTCCTATAAATCTAATTTTATTCCAAAATAAAAAGTTTATTAAAAAATATGTAAAAAGGCTTGGCGCCTATAGCTCAACTGGCTAAGGCGCCAGCCACGTACACCTAAGGTGGCGGACTCGAATCCCCAGCCAGGACCCGCCAAACAACAATGACGGCTGCAACTGAAAATTAGCCGGGCGTTGTGGCGGGTGCCTGTGGTCCCAGCTGCTTGGGAGGCGGAGGCAGGAGACTAGCTTGAGCCCAGGAGTTGGAGGTTGCTGTGAGCTGTAATGCCACCATGGCTTTCTACCCAGGGGGACAGCTTGAGGCTTCTGTCTCGAAGAAAAAAAAAAAAAAAAGAAGTTAGCTTGAGACTGGGCCCAGTGGCTCACACCTGTAATCCCAGGATTTAAGAGGCCAAGGCAGGTGGATCGCAGGAGCTCACGATTTCCAGATCAGGTAAAGCAAGAGTGAGGGGCAGCGCCTGTGGCTCAAAGGAGTAGGCGCTGGCCCCATATGCCGGAGGTGACAGGTTCGAACACAGCCCCGGCCAAAAACTGCACC